CTAGCAGCAGCCGCGGCAGTGCAAGTTCTATGCCCAGCCAGGGAGCTGACCCACATGGCAGCAGACTCTCCCGCTGCTCCCCTCAGCAGCGTGCTTCATCAGTCTGCTCTGCTCCCCACGGTGTCTCTGGTGAGACCTCTCACTGCCCCTGCCCCAGTTCTGTACGCATAAATAAATAAAATATTTTAAAAAATGTACAAGTAGCTGGGAGCAGCATGGATGGAGATGAAGGCTGCTGTGTGGCAGCAGCACAGCCCATGGGGGTAATGTGCACCCCGGAAGTGTAGCGACAGCCCTTGGAGACGAGGCGAGGATGCTGCGGGGGTGGTGGAAGGGAGTGATGCTCTGGGCCCAGAAGAGTCCGACACGCGGGTGGTGGAGGCCGAGCTGAGGTGGGCTTGCGGTAGGCCGAAGGGAGGGAGAGAACTCACGTGTGTATGTGGGGCTGTTTGTAAAGAAGAGGTTCTGCTTGGATGGCAGTGACGGACACCAGCTAGAGAGGGCGAGGCCAGAATAAGAAAGAGTGGGGTTCTGGGGAGCAAACGGAGTTATCAATACATATAAGGTGGCCTGACCAGTCTGGAGCAGAAGCATGGAGACGGGCGAAAAGGGGCGATGGTGACTGGAGCTACACGGTCATGCTAGAGTTGCTGGTCAGTACCTGGTGCTGCAGTGCCGCAGCTGGGTGGGGTATAAAAGTCAGTGGCCTCGGACACCGAGGCGGTGGAACAGGTGGGGCGAGGTCGGGGACACTGGTGGAGACTGAGGCGGCCTAGAGGCTGTGGCGGAGAGCTGGAGGGGACAGAAGCTGAGCAGGTGCTCTCAGAGGCAGTGGCTGAGATAGTCGGGGTCTTGTTACAGGGCAGGGTAATGGGCACCCCAGAACCCCCAAGTTGGCCCACTCTAAATAGCCACCATTTGCTGCATCAAGATAAAACATAGTCTAGTGTGTGAGATCTTAAGTGGAAAGGAACTTTAATACAATGAGTGTACACTATAGAAAAGAGAAAGAATGAAGTTTCCAAGTCAAGCGTCTGATGTTACCCATCCCCACGTGGATAAATATCCAATCAAACAAGTTTGGCCCGAAGCAGGGCCACTGAGGCCCAAAAGCCTGTCACCTAAGTCTAAGACACCTTCTGGTAGGGACTCAGGGTCCAAAAACAGCCTGACAAGTCTGGGAGGAAAAGCGCAAAATCAAAACCAAGGTAAATACTGCCATAGTGAAGCTCCCCATTGGTCTCTCACCCAGATCTGGTTCTCCCAGGGCAACAGAAAAGGATATCTGTCCCTCAGGCTGGTGCTTTAGCAGAATTCTATCTCATTTAGCAATTACTGTGAAAGTTTACTGATTAGAAACATATTATTTTTTAAATAAATTGTTTTGTTTTCAAAAGGAAATCCATCTCCCAAGATATTGTCTACCTCTAAATTGCGTATTTTCAGAGGCAAGTGAGCACAGGTAGCAATTTGGAAAATCACAATATTAATGGATCCAATTAAAGGATGCATTTGAGGTCTTTGTTTAAAATCTATGCACGGGCCCTCCCTAGCGGTGCAGAGGGTTAAAAAGTGCAACACTGCCGCATCAGAGCAAGTTCCATCCAGGGCCCCGGAGCTGACCCACATGGCACAGCAGACCTCTCCTGACCCACCCACTGCTCCCCTCAGCAGTGTACTTCATAGATCTGCCTGTTCTGCTCCCCGCTCTGTCTCTAGTGAAGACTCTCACAGCCCCTGCTCCTCTGGCCTGAACCACAGTTCTGTATGCATAAATAAATTAATCTTTAAAAAAAAAAAAAGGCCAGTCGATAGGTCTCAGGTGACAGAGGCTGAGCTGCCGGGTAGACCCAGTCTGCTGACCGAGGGGCCAGAAGCACAGCCTCTGGGAGTCCCGGGCTGGAGGGGAGGCTGGGCTGGGTAGGAAGCCGCTGCCCCTCTCTTGCACACTCTTCCTTTATACCTCGTTCCCTGAGCTCCCACTCACACCCCCCTCCGGCCTCAGGCCACCGGCTCTCCTGGAAGCCTGAGCAACGAAGGCTGGGACAGACTGCCCCCAGCCGCCCTTTAGATCGGAACAAGGCTCTTCTCGGCATCTGGGCTTTCTCAGCTGTAAAGCTCGCGGATGAGGACCGAAGAGTGTGATGTAGAGAGACGCGTGGCTGGTTAATTCTGTTACTGGCAGTGCGTCCCGGGGCAGTGCGTCCCGGTGCGTCCAGCGGTGCTTAGCCAGGAAGCGGAGCCAGAACCGCGATCTAGAGGGGCCAGGGCGGGGAGAGGATCCGCCCGAGATAGCCCGATCAGGACCCGGCACTCAGCGGGCTGAACCCCGGGGACACGCAGGCACCGCGGTTGCCTGTGAGGACCGCGGGCAGGGTGGATGTGGAACAAGGCGACGGCTCCTCCCCGCCCCGCCCAGTTTGGGGGCACGCCCGGGCGCCGGTGGCCGGGCACCACTAATCCTGAAAGTTAGGAAGGGCGATCCCAGGGCCACCTGCCAAGTGGAGCCTGGGGGAAAGAGGGAGGCGAGTGGAGGACCGTGGGTCGGCTTCTTACATGTCTGTCCCGACCCAAGATCCCAGCCAGACTCGACTCTCTGCTCTTGCCCCTTGGCGCCTCGCCACCCCAGCACTCGAGGTCTTGGGCCTCTGGTGCTCGTTCTGGGAGTTCTGGGGGAGAACAGGGGGCCCCTTTTTGCTTGTCTTGGCAAATGGTAATCCAGGACGTAGCAGCTGCCTGAACAGGAGTGTCAACGAGCTCTCGGAGGACAGCAGATTGTAGGCTTCTCACCATTGAATCGTCCCAAGCTGGACCCCAATTTAAAAAATCCAAATAAAATAAAGTTTTTTACTCTGTCCCTAGAGTGTGGAACATCCAATTCAATATACTCCCCCAGGCCAACTTAGCAACCTGAGCACCAGGGGCCCAAGGGATCACGCCCGGGAGTGGGTAGGCTGTGGACTCTGTACCCCCAGCCAGGCTGTGAAGGTGTCCTCCCCCGCCCCTCTGTTTCTGGGGTCTGAGCTGTCATCTAGAAAAATTACTAAAAGAAGCTGGGAGGAGGCTGGCCTCCCTTCATGTGCTCAGAGGTCCCTAAAGGGAAGAGGAGCCCATGACCTCCAGGGCTGGGGTGGGGGAGGGGCCAGGTGCCTTCACCCCTCAAGCTCTCTCCAGGAACCTACACTTGGAGCCTAACTCACCTTCTTGCTGGGACCCAAGCTACTCTCCTGCCCTTAACGGAGGATCTCTGGTGGGAGACCTGGAGATCCTCAGGCCTGAGGACCTTCCCAGCCCAGAGTGGGCTTAGAGACAGAAGTGTTCAGGTGAGTATTACTGCACTCTATCAGCTTCCCACTTCCCACAAACAGATGCCAAAAGTAGTAAAGCAAATAGCTGTGCTGCTTGAGTCACGTGGAGTGGAAGTTGGAAGGCCTGTGGCAAAGGGGGCTATTCAGTGAATGTGGGTGTAGCCCTCTTCTGGGGAGAAAGAGCAAAGCTGTGGGGGGGGGCCGAGGGGTTCTTCTGGGACTGACATCTGGGTCCAGAAGGCTTTGGGAGCATGGTAGAGGCTTTGGGATCAAATGCATGGTAGATACTCATAAATTTTGGGTTTAATTCATTGGAGTCTTGTTTTATTCTGTGTAGTAGTGCTTTGTGATGATTCTTGTTGAATTATCTAATTTTCTTGTATTTGTGAGTGAAGTAGGAAGTATGTCTTATATGCCTTTATAATCCTCCAAAGTATGTATAATAGGCGCCTAAAATAGTAACTAACACGTTTTCCCCTCATTCGTGAGGTCAACATGCACTCAGAACAGCTCTTATCTAAACTGAGGAGTGAGCCATTTTAGGAGAAGTAGAAATTCAGCCTTCAGAAGTCTATCCTCTAAAAAATTTTAGTCTTGTTTTCCAACCGCTCCTGTTCAAGGTCATTTGAAAGGTCACAGCCAGAACCAGGAGCACCATTCGGGACCTTTTCCAGTTGATCACCCAATAACTACGACATCTTCACTCTATAAATGTTTTGCTTACAGTTTATTATAAAAAAGTCAGTAGATGGAAGGAGGCTACCTGGCATTTGGCAGCCCTGCCCTCCACATCTCTAATCAGTAAAAAGTGAAAGGGCTTTAATAAGTTGGAGAGAAAGTCCAGGAAGCATCACCCATGAATGTGAGGAAAATCAGAATCTGGAACGAAGGGCTGTAGAGAAGATGGGTAAGACCTGGAAAAATCCAGGGCTGATTTCTGGCAGAAGAGACAGGAACTTGTTGAATGGGGAGCATCATTGGGAAAGGTCTGGGGATCAATGATGAGCCTGCAAGTCATACACCCCAGGAAGCCTGCCCACTGTAGACAGGGGGTCGGGAGGAAAGGGGAAGAGCTATCTACATGAGAGACATTTATGATCATTTCTGAAAATTTCCTTTCCTCTGGGAAAAGAGCCAAATCCTATCTTTTCACTAAAAAGAAAGAAAGGGACAGTAAGAGTTCTGGAAACTCAGAGATAAACCTATTTACACACAAACTCTAGGCAATAGTAGAAATAATAAAGATTGGCCCTGAAACCCAAGGGCTCTGGCCTCATTCTTCCCCTCCCCGTTATCTGACTCGCAAGTCAGATTGGGAGCATTGCCTCGTAAAACTCTGGAGCGTCCCTTGTCCTGCTGCTGCTCCCAGGACTCAGCCATGACTGGACGGAGGTTAGTCCTGGCCCCAGAGGTTTCCATCAGACACCATTTCCCTTGCTTCTATTATTTGTTGTATTATTTCGCTTGCTTGTATTATTCATTCTTTCTTCTATACCCCCCAGACTTAAATGTTCACCTCCCCCAACCACCAGTTCCAAAGACCAATTCAAAGAACATAGCAGATGGGGGATTAATCTGTTAACTGCCGGTACTCTCTGCCCTTCCTGGAATCTGGAAATAGGAATTATGACCCTAGTCCCTCACCCAGGGAAGGGGCATGGGATGGACTGGTGGGGGGCGCTTTCTGAGCAATCATTGTGGGGTAGGGATCTGGCCCATTCCAAGAGTCTGCTTCTCTATCAGGTAGACTGGGTAGGAATTGGGGCCATGTTCATCCTCAGAGTCATTGTCATGAGGGGTCTGGATCTGTGCCTGGCGCCTCCGTGTCATATATGAGACCTGTGATTGAAGGAGAGGAGGGAGGAATGAGTTACATCTGTACACCATCTCTTTTCTCAATACCCAGAGTTCAGGCCCTTAGATTCTAATCTCCTAATCCTTGAATTTTTGCTTGCCCCTTTCCCAAAATTCCACCCAAAACTTGATCCTTGGTAAAGCCCCAGGTCCATCACAGGTTCCCAGGCTTCGTCTCCAATTCCTTCTTCTGTCCTATTTTCTTTATTCTAAGCCCCCTGTCCTCATATCCCAAGCTCTCTCTCCAACCCCCAATTTTTTTCTCTGTTATCTTTTTTCTCAATCACAAATTTCCAATTCCACTTTTCACATCTCATTTATCTTTTCTTTCCCCATAGCGTTCACCACCACTACCCCTCAGTTACCCTTCCCAACACCAAGCCTCCTTTGCTGAATAATCTCTCCCAACACCCTATCACATGGGTTCATTCCCCTGGGGCATTCTTGACCCTTACCAAGAAGATCACACCGAGGAACACCAGAAGGAGAATCACAGCCAACAGGACCACAATAACTATGTCCCACGCGGGGAATGAATTATTCGCCCCTATCACTCCAGCATGGAGACCGCCCTGTATGCCACCTTTGTTCTTATATGAATGGCTCATGCTGTCTGTGGTGGATGTGGTGAATGTGAAAGAACCAGTGAGCACCTGATGGGTAATCTTAGTTTTGTTTGGATTAGGAGAGGTAGCATGGACAGGCTTGTCTCCTGTGACCTTGACTGCAGGTCTTACAGTCTGTGTGGTTCCTGTGTATCTTGCTGGGGTTTTCATGGACTTCACGGAAGTTTTTATGGTCTCAGTGGTCACTGTGATATTTTTTGTTTTTTTGGTAGAGCCTGTTGGAATTGATGTGGTCTTGGGATTTGAGGATATGTTCTTTGTGTATGCTGTATGCTTTTCTGAGGTGCCTGTGTTCATCCCATGAGTGATCGGTTTCCCATGATCCATATGGTTGGCTGGAGTTGGAGTAGTGGTCCCATGAGTGGATGAGGCCATTTTACCGTGATCTGTATGACTGGATGGATTTGGAGTGACATTCCCTTGAGTGGATGAAGCCATTTCTCCTTGATGTGTAGGGCTGTCTGGATCCAGGGTGACATTCCCATGAGTGGATGAAGCCATTTCTCCTTGATGTGT